AGCGGGCACCATGCCGCGGACGGATCCAGCATGGCCACACCCTCGCTGTGCCCTGGGGTACAGGAGCAGGATGTGGCTTGCAAAGCGCAGGCATCCCCCAATGTCCTTGCTCCCCTGGCAGCTCAGTGACTTGCTTATCCCTCCGCAGCCAGCCAGGAGCAGGAGCACTCGCCGCTTGCTGAGGACAGCACGGTGCACACCATTTACTCCCAGGTGCAGCGGGTGGAGGTGAGCTATGACCGACAGGACCTCAGCTGGCATGGGGGAAAATGCTCCTTTAGTGACAGAAATGCTCCTTTACCGATGGAATTGCTCTTTTAGCGATGGGACCCCAAGCACTGCAGCCAGTAGGGAGCATGGGCACAACCCTGCCAGGGTTTCTTGGGTGGGGGGGGTCTTGGATGATGGCAGCCTGCTTTGGGGACTAGCAAAGGCAGCAGCACCCAAAGCCCCAGGTCATTGCTGGGTGCTTCCTCGCTGGTCTGCGGGTCACTCTCTGATGGACTTTGTGCACTGGGTGTCACAGCAGCCCTGTGGCTGGCAAGGGGGAGAGTCAGATTGTGGCTGGGGGGGACTGGGGTGGCTGTGGGCTCCCCTGGGTCACTCATGGCTGTCGTTCTAGGAGCCAGCCTTGCCACCATTAATTTGGGAGTTGCTGGGAATAAGGTCGGGTGCTGCAGCTTCCCCAGCATCCCAGGGTGGCTTTGAGGACAGACTGTGTGTTTTTTCTCCCCTCCCCGAGTCCTGCTCAGTGCAAATTGGGGAGGAAATGGGGGGTCCACATAGAGGGGAGGGAAGGAGGGAGTGAAGGCCCCCCTTGGTGAGCTGCCTGCTGCTGCTCATTCTTTGCTCTCCGTGCAGAAGCAGAAAGGGACCCCCATCACCGAGCACCCCTCCTGCACCACTATCTATGCTGCAGCCACCGGCCTGCCCCTGGACACGGCCCCAGCCCCCAGCAGAGCCCCACATCCCCCACGCAGCCCCTCGGCAGAGCCGCCTGCCCTGCAGGGCCACCCACCCCTCTCGCCGGTAAGGGTGGCTGCTCTCCCCCCATTCTTGCCCAGGCTGGGCATCACCGTGGGGAAACCCATGGATCCCCCATGTCAAGCACCTTGCTGACCCCTTTGCTTCCCTGCTCTTTGCTTCAGAGCCCCGACAAGGAGCTCACAACAGTTTACGCCAGCGTGATGATGCCCATGGCCTGAGCATCACCAGGCAGCGGGCAGCAGTCCAGACCGGCCTCCAGCTCTGCTCACCGGGCACTGACATCCATGTTCCTGGCTGGAGGAAACCCTGCTCGTCCATGGGGAATTGGGGCAATATCCTCTGGCATGCACAGACCCCCCCACTGCAGCTGGGGCTGCAACGATGGCTGCGGAGATGAGGGAAGGTGGAGAAAAGAGCAGATCTGAAGCAAGGCAAGAAATCTCCCCGGGCTGTGGCTAAGGGTGGCCAGCAAGATGCTGAAGGACCAAGAGAGGCTAGAGGGGCTTTAGATACAACCCCGCAGCCAGGCATCAGCAACAGAGAGAGAATCGGTGCCACAGAGGGGAAGGGTCAGCCCATCAGCACCGTGGTGCAGCACCAGGAGACATGACCAGAGCAGATTTGCACTCCAACCTCAGCCCTGCCCCATGGGTTTTCACCCCACAGCCTCATCCTGTGGACCTGGCTTCACTAGAGGGAGCCTCCAGCTCGTGGCAGTCAGCAATGCCGGTGATACGCAGGGACGTGGGTTCAACAGCAGTGGGGAAAAATCAGAAGCAATTTTATTTTTTTTTTTTCCAACCTCTGCTCTTGCAACCGGTTATGAAACATTGGATTTCGGCCCAAGGGTGAAGAAAGTTTTTGCAATCCCCTCGGAGCTGAGCCCTGCCCAGCACCCAGCCTGATCCCCTGCACCAGGGGAAGCAGCCACGTCCAACTGCACTTTTCCATTCCTATCCTTCTCCACTGATGACTATGGGAACAGGTGAGGATCTTCCAGATGGACTATTTAAAGCTGAATTTCTGGCTGAGAGGGGGACACAGCCCCTGCCCATGGCCTGGCCACCCCCAGCCCACAGCAGCTCCCGACTTCGCTGCAGAAACACCCAGCACGGGGAGGCTGGAGGTAGCCCAGAGGAGGGACCAGGGCTGTCAAATCTTTCCAGTCCCCCTCCCAGTCTGAGGTATTTTATAATGCCAACATAACTCAGCTCATACAGTGGGTCTAATCTCATGTGCTGCTGCTAAGGGAAAGGAAAATAAATTTATAGTAAAGTCTTTTGGAAAGGTTTTCTGGAGAAGTGTGTCAGGGGCTGGATCAGGTCTTGAGGGGGAAGAGAAATCAGTGGGTTTGCACCTCCATAGCTTCCTTATTTCGTTACTGCAGAAAATCAGTTGAGTTGCTTCCTTGGAAAAGTCTGCCCGCAAAACAACCACTTCCCCCAGGAGCACAGAGAGGTCCAGGGAAGGGCAAAGGCACGCTTGCCCTTATGCCTCTAAAATGGTGCAAAAGCCCTAAATTCTGTGCCTGGCACTTGTGCAGGATGGAACCCAGTGCTACCTGTGTTGGTCCTTATAGAAAGATGGGGCAAGTGCCCGACCCCGTCATGTGCTGCTCCAACATGTGTCCAGCCATCTCAGCCCACCCTCCTGGCCGCGAGGGGACGTCAGATGCTCATTATGGGGAAGAGTTCAAGTAAAAATGCTAATATTGCCATTGCAGAGGAGCATTGAGCCACGATGCCACAGTTCCCCCCACCTCCCCAGCTCCCAGGTGACGGTCGGAGGAGGCAAAGGGGGTTAAGGGGTGGCTCATCCCCTGGAGTGTCTCTTTGTGCCTCTCATCTCACCCCCCATGCCAGGAGGTTGTGAAAGAGAGGAGCTGTTTTTAGGAGTTTTAGTGCTTTGGTATTGAGCAACGATACTGGTCTCTGTGCTTAATGTATCCCATCACCCAGCATCGGGGCAGCGCTGAGGGGCTACAGCAGCCCCCACTCCCTTGCTGGGGTAGAGGAACCAGGGCTATTTTAAAGCCCAACTTCCCCAGCTGTTCCAGCATGCTTCCCTCACCTGAATAGGAGGGAAAAACAACTTCATTTTGAGGGTGACTGAGCACTGGAACAGGCTGCCCAGAGAGGTTGTGGAGTCTCCTTCTCTGGAGATATTCAAAACCTGTGCAGCCTGGTCTAGGTGATCCTACTTTAGCAGGGGGTTGGACTAGATGATCTCCAGAGATCCCTTCCCACCCCAACCAGTCTGTGATTCTCTGAATTTCAGTATGACACCAGTGTCATGCTATTTCCCAGAATAATCTGAATTAGGGAAGCAGCTTCTTTCCTGCAGTTGTCACTCATCTGTCCTGGTTGGGGGGACTGGAGAACGTGGATATCAATATCTCTTACAAAAGGTGTTGTGGTAGATATCCCGCTGAGGGTCAGGTGCCCACCAGAGCTGCTC